TCCCCCAGCCACAGTCCTGGCCCTGCTGCTAGGCAGCAGACAGTCCCAATCGTGCTCCATCCACCTGGCTACTGAGGCCCTGCTGCCAGCAGACTCGCAGGGTTACACTGGGCTCCCAGCTGCTGGCCCTCCTGTCCCAGGGCTCTCTCACCCAGGAACATCTGGGGTCATGCTGGACAACAGATTCTGCCGGACGAGAAAATCCTGGATTTGGGAGGTGCAATCTGTACTTGAAAGCACCCAGCCTTAAAACAATGCATTGGATCCTGTAAAAATCTGATAATATGGTTCAAAAGACCGAGTATAACCTATTAGAGACCGGTGGAGAGGCATGAGACAAGAACTCAGTCCAAGCAGGTATATGGCCCTCTTAGCTCCAGGTAATGAGGAAGTGTTAGACCACTCCCAGTAGCACAGCTGAGTTTTAGAGGCACCATGGCCATCTCAGAGTTATGAAGGATGCATGTTTACGTGCCATATGAACATCAGCACAGTAGCTGAGAGATCATATTTAGGAACATAGGAATAACCAGATCATATAAGAGGTCCATATAGCCCTGTCTTTGACACAGGCCAATACCAGACTTCTCAGAGGAAGATGCAAGACATCGTCAAGTGAGAAAACATGGAACAACCTGCTCATAGGGGAAGTTCTGCCTAAATTCCTTAATTAGAGGTTGGTTTGCAGCCTATGGCATGAGGTTGGGTGTCACTTTCATACCAGACACAGACACAGACACCCCTTCATTAGTTTGAACTCTAGATGTACTTGTAAATGTACAATCCCTTTTTGAATACCGCTGGACACTCGCTGCCTTAAGCAATGAGTCCCACAGGTTAATTGTAGGTTGCTTAAAAATGTTTGTGCCTGAAATAACAATCCTCAGCACTTCCTGCATGAAGCTCTGTTGTGTTCCTCCACCTTCAAAGCACTTCGTTCTCTTGGCGCACAAAGAACACCTCATTAATTGGTGTTATTTTTCCAGTGTGATAGATGGGCACACAAAAGGCAGAGAAAGACTTGCCCGAAGTAAAGAGCCAGTATCTGCAATGTAAGTGAAGCTCAGTCTTCATGTCTAGCCCACTCTGCCTTGCAGCCAGATAGGAACATAAGCGTTTCTACCCTGGACCGACAGAAAACTCCATTTTAGCCCCTGGGATCAAACGGTGGACCTGAAAATTCCCAGATCCAAATCAAGACTCACCAGGGCTACTTCTGCCCATGGCATTGCAATTACTTACAGTCTCTTAGCGCATTCAATGCCCAGCGCTCTTCTGAGATCTGGAGAGGGACTGCCGGTTCAGGGTGAGCAGAGGATTCTCCAACCGTCAGTTCTGTCTGTTGATCTCTCTCAAAATGATTTTCAGCGTCAGGATCTTCTTCTCCCTCGGACTTCTCAGCCATGATTGCTGAAGGAGACTGAGCCTTCAGCATCAAGGGAGGCTCAATTCCCAAATCTGTATCTAACCAACAGAAGAGAGATCATCAAGTTAAATACCCCATTCATATGTTCTGAATTACCTATAGGTGACAACTAAACCACTTTCTCTCATAAGACAATTTAGGGGAATTTGAGGATGCATAACTCAATACCCTGTGCTATAGCTAATTAGCTGAATCTCTGCCCAATCTCCTTACCCGGTAATGTCAAGGTAGCTGGGAAAGATAAGGTATACCTCCGACTGGGTTTCGCCTGCCCACAGGGCTTCTAGTGAAAGCTTTTCTGAGCCAAGAAAGATCCCTATCACATGCAAGACATAGCCCAGCATTCTTGTACTGCATCTAGCATGCTGACTATGCTCTTACCTGGACTCTGCATACTGCTGGCAGGGATGTCCCGCTGTTCTTCTTTCAGCTTCTGCTGCTCCTCTTCCTCATGCTCCTCACTGCAGGAAGAGGAAAAGGACACCACTCTGTGAATCCAATGCATTTCTGCCACCCTAATAGCGTCATCAATACTTGGGTTATCCTGTCCAGGAAAGGGAATTGAAAAGCTACTGGAAAAAAAAAAATCAATACCAAAGCTTATTTTTACTTACTCGCCAGGTCCCGACTGTGGTAATGGAATTGGCCTTTTTGATGCCTCAACTTTTACTGTCCCTGCCATCTCAGCTATCAGGTCCTGCCATCTGCAAGAGACCAAAAATGAGACTACCACCAGACACAGGAAGCACAAAAGGATGCTCTCATGTAATATATTTTAAACCAGCTAATGTAACTGTGGATATTCTTAAAGGAATTAACATTTCTATTTTTTCTATCCTATGACATTGTTTGCCTCAACATCTCGTGGCAGTGAAGTGAATTCCCTGGGTTAACTACGGTGATCTCACCAGATACAAGGCAGATGCTCCAGCCCCAAGAAATGAATGCAGCAACACAAGCAGAAACCATACAGATGCAAAAGTGGGAGATTCAATCCAGCAGCCAGAAAGGAAGCAGATGCAGAACACTATACGCAATCAACTGACGCTTACCTATTCTGCTGTGGATTGCAAGTGCTTGGGATCTGTCATTTTACACAGAACAGAGAAGAGATTTTATTCTTTTCCATCAAGTTCTCAAGGTGACAAAATACAGTAAGGAAGTTTGAAGGAGGAGGGATTTCTGCTGTCTCAATGTAGTTGCTTACTATAGGATGCTTATTAGAATGGAACCAGTTCTATGAATATAGCCCTAAAAGCACTATATATAATGGGTAGCAGGTTTAAAACTAATACAAGAAAGTTCTTCACACAGCGTGTAGTCAACCTGTGGAACTCCTTGCCAAAGGAGGCTGTGAAGGCTAGGACTATAATAGAGTTTAAAGAGAAGCTAGATAATTTCATGGAGGTTAGGTCCATAAAAGGCTATTAGCCAGGGAATGGAAAGGGGGCCCTGGCCTCTGTTTGTCAGAGGCTGGGGAAGGATGGGGCACCTGGTGCTGGCCACTGTTGGCAGACAGGCTACTGGGCTAGATGGACGTTTGGTCTGACCCAGTACGGCCGTTCTTATGCACGCTCTGTTCTCCAAAAAAAATTTTTTAAACGAAAAAGCATAGAACACAGACATTCCCGAAAGACAGCTCTAATTTCTGTGCTTCTGTATTTAATAGTCCATTTGAGACGTCAACTCAATGAATAAAAGCTTAGTGACACCGAAGAAGTCTTTGTTATCCTAATTGCACCTCATTTGAAGGAAGGACCCACAAATTTCTTTGTCCCCATTGAACATTTAAAATTTCTAATTAATGTTTTTACCTCTAAAGGGAATAGCAGTGCTGGTTAAGCGACGCCAGACTGACAGTGCTGGGAACTGAAATTCTCTATTGCAGAAGAGCAAGTACAGTATGGACAGCAGCAATGAAAACTGCCTCTCTACACATACTAATTATAAACCCAGTTCTGGAGGGATTTTATTTAGGGGGAAGGAGAGAGTTCACTCCCATGGCTCAGTAATCCTCTGGCCTCTGTGCAGACAGCCAGTAACAGTGGCAAGTTACTGTCAAAATTGCAGATAGTCCACATGTTGCAACATCTCTTCACAGCTAACCTGGGTGAGCTCCACCAACTCATCTCACAGAACGCAGGTCATTCAGCCATTTAAGGGCAAGTTTTGCTTACTGGAGAATAGGGGTCAGTTTCAAATCTCAAACCACGGCCGCTGAAAGCGCCTATCTCAGTACCAACCACTAAGCCATCAAGTCTCCCAAGACAGTATTTTCCTGGTCTACAATTTACCCGGGTGCATCCAAGAATTACCCGATGTTACTTGGGCCCTTTAGTCAATTTTTGTTTGTCTTCATTTAAATCATTGTTCTAGGGTGGGCTTGGGGATCAGGGGTTCTGTATGCAGGCTGCCCCAGGGAGAGAAGGGACAACCACAGCGGGTTGGGGCCAGGTAAGAAGTGCCTCTCCATGGCTGCTGCAGCAGGCACAGCTGAGGCAAAGGTGCATGTCCCCTACCTGTGGGACAGAGATACACAAACAGACAAACTCACTGAAATATATGTAGATAGCTGTCCCTTTCTCCAGCTCTGTCCCCCTGCTGGCGCAATGGGGTTATAACTGTCCCCACTCCATCTCTGGCCCCTTGCTTCCCCCACCACTGTGGTCATTCTGCAGTAAAATTCCCTCCTACTAAACACCTCCTTTCTATTGTAGGAGTATCAAATTCCAGGCACATCCCATTATCCTGGCACAACCAATCCCTGACCTTGCTTTAAGTGATGATCAGAGGAAGCCGTGTACCACATTTGGAGGTCCTAGATCTCACCATTTGAGAAGAGTTCTTGACCAAAAAACTGGACTCAGACAGACAGATACTTATTTCTAAGCTACATGCTGAGATGGGGTGCCAGAATGTTTTTGATGCATTGGTTTCAAACTTCCACGTATACAAGCAATTTGCATCAAAGCTAACAATCCTGGATTTTCCTACTGACCATGCATTTTATATTGCACCATGCTGATGTACATAGCACTGTGCAATAGGTATAAAGTAGCATACAAACAAAACCATTTTTACAGTCCCATGACAAAGCACTTCTACCAAAGATTGTGAAGAACAGTTCAGACAAGAACTGGAATTCATAAGTGGCAGCGTGTTCCCTGCCACTCGATAACATGTCCCAGAATGCTGAAGGTAACCTGGACAGATGGCAGATTCTAGGATTTTGCATAGAGATGCAGGACTATTGCATTGATTCATTTGACAGTTATACCACATGGGTCTCATTAGCCCCAACTTACAAGGATTTAAAAAAAGAAGGGCACTTGTAAAGCAAGAAGAGGGCTAGGAGTGAGACGCGAGGCATAATGGAAAATTTCTAGCAACCGCCTGAGCTGGCAAAGAGTGCCAATTGTTGTTTGTAACACTTGAGGAAGATTCCTGATGGGGTGACAGGTTTGGACACTAGCGCTGTGCACGAGCGGAGCGCCAGATAATTCACAAGCCCCTCTAGAGAGGAACTACGACTCTCGTAGTGGGATGTTAGATTTCTCTCTTTCCCCACAGCAGAGGTAACGGAGCCTATAACTTACACAGTCTTTTCAGAAACGGTCTGTGCCACCAATTCATAAATCTGGGCACCATTTTCTGACATGGAGATGACGAAGAAAGCTTTGTTATCTGGAAAGACACAAGAGGAGAGTCATTTCATCTGATGCCTTGGATAGTAAAAGCATATGAGTATCTGTCTGACTTCAGGGGATTTCAGATACAATTGTTCAGGCCAACACAATATACTGCAGGAAGATTCTGTCAAGTCAATTAGCAGGCTAATTACATCAGTACAAAGGTGTTTCAGTCTCAGACACAAATGTGACACTGGGTTCCAGGCCTCACGCCGTCCCTCCCCCCCAAAAAAGAAAGAAAAAAATTAGCTATTGGTCCTCATGGCTCTTCCCCCCAGCCAGCTTGCCC